TGAAACCCAAACGCTTCTATTCTTAGCCAAATAGCTTTAGTCCACACCGCGTCTTTACTGTTTTCATCTGTAAAACCATGAATATCAATTCCTACGCAATAGTCTCTTGTGTGCCAAACCACAAATGTCGGGGTTCTACTTGATTTGATATGGCTCACTGTAGACGTCTCCTCTTTGCTTCTGATTCTTTCTTTTTCATCCAATTGCTAGCGGTACCACAACATTTGTCGGTTGGCACACAAGTGACTAGGGCATAGCAAATCATAGACTTGGTATTAGGGTAAGAAACAGGATAGAGACGGCGGGAGCCAGAGCTAGTTGACTAACGGTAGGTCTATTGTACCACTTAATTTAGTTACCCAAACGCAGGGTAGTGTAGAACCGATGTGGTGGGAGGATTCGAGTGTAATAGCTGAACAAGGGGTGGAGCAGACGAATTTTACGGAGCAAGAGAGAGACTGGGATAAGACTAAGATAGAGGACTGCATAATAATAAAGCAGATTTTGATCAACATTCCCTGCACAAGGATGAAGGGGGGGGGGTAAGAACGATATTTGAAGTGTGAAGGTGTCATGTCGCTCAAAGGAGCACACCACACTATTTCTAAATAAACACGGTAAAAATTGTATCAGGGTGTTGTGGCCTTTTGTGTGTTCGCAGTCTCCTTTCGTTGGATAGAGGTTGTTTGACCTGGTTTTCGCAACATGGTCATATTGGTAGGAAGACTTAGTGGAACTCACCTATTCTGGAGTCCATTGTCTGCATGATCATTTCCAATGTTGAAGCGTGGGCATGTCACATTCCTAAACGTATCGCCGGCATCATTAGTGAGTATCGCGCCATAGAACAACTCGACAAAAAAGAAAATAGTCTTTCTACGATGCCGGCGAAACTTTTGGAAATGTACCACCTCCAGGATTCAACTTTGGAAATTATCATGCAGACAATGGACACCGGACTAGATGCATTCCACTAAGTGTTCCTACCAATATAATAATGTTGCAAGAATAAGTTCAAACAACGTCAATATAACGAAAGCAAATTGTGACCCAACAAAATTCCACACCATCTTGGAATTTATACCTTCGACTTTTACTGAGTGATTTTTCTTTATCAATTGCTATTATATTAATTTTAAATTAGTAACGCCAGTTCTTACATTTTTAGTTTCTATTTAAATTTTATTTATCTATTTTCAGCATCTGTTAAATTTTTTTTTCATATTTCTTTTATCTATTTGCTTCAAGCATATTTTGCTAACAATTTATCATAAATTAGCAATATTTATTATTTTTCAGGATTACTGCTGTAACATACAAATATATATGGTACGTTCAAGGTGATGACGGAAACGAAGAAGAGTTTTTGCACAATGTTATGCGTAAAGCAGAAGTTTCCATTCAATTTCACACAGATTTGCTTTCCCAATAGTTGTTCTCATTCGGGCTGGAGTTAAATACAATTTCGACATCGCATTAACTGGCCTGATAAGACGCCAAGCGGAAGTCTAACGATGGAATTGCAATATATAAGCT